TCTCAGGTGAAGGGAATCAATAGCTAACTGGATAGATTCGATGTGGAATTTTTTTAACTCAAAGGAATCTTTTAGATCCATTAATTGTCAGGTGCCTCCTTTTTCTCTGGGGACAGTTAAAAGTTTTGAATAGAAACCCTGAAACCTATCCTCCTGTAGGACCCCTTGAGAGAGGAGCTGTTCCTGAGCAGTGTGAAGATCCGCCAACCTGGGTGTGGATGTTGAAAAGTTTTACAACATTGAGAGTGAAGTAGGGTGGAGGCAGAAACTGAAATTCTAGCTTGTAGCTCCTGGATGCAATTGTCAGGGCTCCCAGGTATGACCAGAGGTGTGTGACTGACGCAGGGAAACGCAGACTTCAGATATGTGATAAACAATACAATTTATTAACACTAACCATACAAACATAAACGCAGTGCAATACTAAACATAATACAGTGCAAACAAACCAAACCAAACCACCCACAGATAACAGTACATACAAGCAAGCGTCGTCAGGCAGGCCGGGTCAATATCAATAGGGCAGGTAGGTACAGGGGGAGCAAGCGGAGATTGGTCGGGGTCACAGGCCAGGTTCAGCAGGTAGCAAGCAGCGTAGTACAGAGGGTCAGGCAGAGGGATGGTCAGGGTCACAAGCCAGAGATCAAAACAGGTAACAAGCAGCGTAGTACAGAGGGTCAGGCAGAGGGACAGAAGCAGGATGCAGGACAGATACAGGGCCCAGGACAAACACAACACCAAGGCAGAGTCTGTGGGTCTAGCCATCCCTTAAATACCCCAGCATCATCAGTTCCAGGTGTTAGCTGGCTGAAAGGTTGAGTCTCTGATTGCTGGGAGCACCCGCTGGCCAGCCCTGGTACTGCAGATCAAAAGGCAGGTGAGTCCCACCATTGCTGGCCAGTCCATTCCTAACAGCAATATTCTGCATCCAACATCTGAATTGTTATGGGACCAGATGGCCTTAGTGAGGGGAGTCCTGATCTTGCAGTGTAATTGAATTCCAGACCTGGGCTTAGACCTAGAGACGTGAGAGAAATGAAAGGAACTCCTTTTCATCTCAGTAGCTGATGCTTTATCCACTGGTGTCTTTGCCTTCATAGTGCTGGGGCAAAAGGGTTCCTTTGTCCCCCTATGACTTTGATAAAGATGTCCATGGATTTGCAAAAAAAAAGTATTCTCCAGCAAAAGGCATGCACACAAGATCTTTCTAGCATGAAATCCCCACAGACCAGTATTTGAGTCAAAAGATCCTCCACATATGCACCAAAAGGAAAACCATTTTGCAAACTTGCCAAGTTGTATCGGCTAGCTCGCTGACACAATAGTGCAGGGAAATGGGCAGGAGCTCGAGTAGTTGGAGAACAAGAGGATTTGTTTGTATAGAACCAGAATTCTTAGCCATGGCCGTAAACCAGTCAGAGTCTGGCAGATGGACATAGTTGCATTGAATGGTTGCATAGCAGGGCCTACAAGGGAGACCAAGGACTTAGGGCCTCCCTCCTCTTCTTCAATAGGATTTTGCTTGGCAAAACTCTTGGGAGGGTCGAACATCATTTCGAGATAAGACCAGTCACAACAAAAGACTTAAAGATGGTAAATTCACTATATCCTCTCTCCCCGGACCCCGCATTCACTGTATCCTCTCTCCCCGGACCCCGCATTCACTGTATCCTCTCTCCCCGGACCCCACATTCGCTATATAAGGCCGCTCTCAACCCGGACCCCGCATTCGCTATATGCGCTCTCCCCCGGACCCCGCATTCACTATATCCGCTCTCCCCGGACCCCGCATTCACTATATCCGCTCTCCCCGGACCCCCGCATTCGCTATATGCGCTCTCCCCGGACCCCCGCATTCGCTATATCCCCGGACCCCGCATTCGCTATATATGCGCTCTCCCCGGACCCCCGCATTCCTATATCCGCTCTCCCCGGACCCCGCATTCGCTATATATCCGCTCTCCCCGGACCCCGCATTCGCTATATCCGCTCTCCCCGGACCCCGCATTCGCTATATCCGCTCTCCCCGGACCCCGCATTCGCTATATCCGCTCTCCCCGGACCCCGCATTCGCTATATCGCTCTCCCGGACCCCGCATTCGCTATATCCGCTCTCCCCGGACCCCGCATTCGCTATATCCGCTCTCCCCGGACCCCGCATTCGCTATATCCGCTCTCCCCGGACCCCGCCTTCGCTATATCCGCTCTCCCCGGACCCGCATTCGCTATATCCGCTCTCCCCGGACCCCGCCTTCACTATATCCGTTCTCCCCGGACCCCGCCTTCACTATATCCGCTCTCCCCGGACCCCGCATTCACTATATCAGGTCTTCCCAGACCCCGCATTCACTTTATCCGTTCTCCCCGGACCCCGCATTCACTATATCCGCTCTCCCCGGACCCCGCATTCACTATATCCGCTCTCCCCTCTCCCGACCCCGCATTTACTATATCCGCTCTCCCCGGACCCCGCATTCACTATATCCGCTCTCCCCGGACCCCGCATTCACTATATCCGCTCTCCCCGGACCCCGCATTCACTATATCCGCTCTCCCCGGACCCCGCATTCACTATATCCGCTCTCCCCGGACCCCGCATTCACTATATCCGCTCTCCCCGGACCCCGCATTCACTATATCCGCTCTCCCCGGACCCCGCATTCACTATATCCGCTCTCCCCGGACCCCGCATTCACTATATCCGCTCTCCCCGGACCCCGCATTCACTATATCCGCTCTCCCCCCCGCATTCACTATATCCGCTCTCCCCGGACCCGCATTCACTATATCCGCTCTCCCCGGACCCCGCATTCACTATATCCGCTCTCCCCGGACCCCGCATTCACTATATATGCCGCTCTCCCCGGACCCCGCATTCACTATATCCGCTCTCCCCGGACCCCGCATCTATCCGCTCTCCCCAGGCATTCCCCGCATCTCACTATATCCGCTCTCCCCGGACCCCGCATTCGCTATATCCGCTCTCCCCGGACCCCGCATTCGCTATATCCGCTCTCCCCCGGACCCCGCATTCACTATATCCGCTCTCCCCGGACCCCGCATTCACTTCATATCCGCTCTCCCCGGACCCCCGCCGCTATATCCGCATCCCCGGACCCCGCATTCACTATATCCGCTCTCCCGGACCCCGCATTCACTATATCCGCTCTCCCCGGACCCCGCATTCACTATACTATATCCGCTCTCCCCGGACCCCGCATTCACTATATCCGCTCTCCCCGGACCCCGCATTCACTATATCCGCTCTCCCCGGACCCCGCATTCACTATATCCGCTCTCCCCGGACCCCGCATTCACTATATCCGCTCTCCCCGGACCCCGCATTCACTATATCCGGTCTCCCCGCTCACCCCGCATTCACTATGTCCGCTCTCCCTAATTTTTCTTTATTAAAAGTCTTGCAATCAATAAAGATAAAATAATATACAGAATATACAAAAATAAATAATTATATACATATTTACACAAAAACGAAAATAAATGTAGCAAAATCTGCTGTCAGACAAAAGCAAACCTCTCAGAAATGAACATCATAACTGGGGAAATAAATCTTACTACCACTCACATCACTACACCAGGCATCAACCTGAGAGGTCAAGAAACAACCCCGCCCCCATTATGCATGCAGCCCTTCTTCAAAAAAAGATTTTAACCAACAAAAACTAACGGAGTGAAAAGAACAGCATAAGAGCCCCTCCCCCAGAGATGGACAGTTCACCAAAGGCAGGTCTGCTATTCCTCCCTGCCCTTATCCAGACCCCGCATCCCCGAATCTTCCCAACCTCACCCAGAATATCGTGCACCACCACCTCTACAGGGAGGACTTTCTTCCGGATGGTAATCTGACACCGTGCGTTTCCATGTGAAGTAACGAACAACTATACTAACTAGAAAAAGTGTATCCAAATCAAAGTCCCAGCGAGCTGGGAATGCCCCGTACACCCACTCTGCATAACTCATGCGATAGAGAAAGGGGATGCCCAGAACCCTCCCCACCCTTTTATACACCTCTATGTTAAAGGGACACGAGCAGAAAGTGGTCCATAGACTCCACTTTACCAACACACTCTGCTCTAGGACAATCCCGATCTTCCACAGGGCGGTGCTTCAGGTTCCCTCTCACATAGAGCCTCCATGGAAAGCGAGCCAGGCTTGATCCCTAAACTTCAAAGGGATTTTCTCCAAGTTAATTAAACGCAATCCCTCCCTCATTACGGAGCCTGGGCAATCCTTTAAGGCCAGTGACACACTGAAAGCAGAAGCCAAAATCCTCTCCCCCAGAAGCTTCCTGGGAAGGGACCTGATATCCTCCACTGTCACCTGCCACTGCCGAAAGTATTTTCAGACACGGGGCAACGTAAGCTGGGAGCTTGCCATGTCGGACTCTCAGACTTTTCACTGGGCCGCCATCTTCCCAGCAATGCAGAAAAGGCCTAAACCAAGACTGAAAAATACCCACCCATCCCGGCGGGGTCTCTGCTAACATATTACCAAGATTGTTTTTTAACCATTTCAATACCGTGCAATTTTCCCCCTTCCTGCCCAGGCCATTTTTCAGTTTCAGCGCTCTCACACTTTGAATGACAATTGCACGGTCATACAACATTGTACCCAAACTAAAATTTGATCATTTTCTTCACACAACTAGAGCTTTCTTTTGGTGGTATTTTCTTCTTTGGGAATCACCGCTTTTTTATTTTTTGCTAAATTAACAAAAAAAGACAAAAATTTTGAAAAAAAAACACATTTTTCTTTGTTTCTGTTATAAAAGTTTACAAATAAATAATTGTTCTTCATAAATTTAGGCCGAGATGTATTCTGCTCCATGTCTTTGGTGAAAATAACCCAAATTAGGATGTATTATTTAGTTTGTAGGAAAGTTATAGAGTTCACAAACTATGGTATAGATCTGAATATTGATCAATCCTGAAGTACTGACAGCCAATCTAATTTCTTGAGGTCCCAAATGCCAGAACAGTACAGATATCCCCCAAATGTCAGGACAGTACAGATATCCCCCAAATGTCAGGACAGTACAGATATCCCCCAAATGTCAGGACGGTATAGATATCCCCCAAATGTCAGGACGGTATAGATATCCCCCAAATGTCACACGGTACAGATATCCCCCCAAATGTCAGGACGGTACAGATATCCCCCCCAAATGCCAGAACAGTACAGATATCCCCCAAATGTCACAGTACAGATATCCCCCAAATGACCCCTTTTTGCAGAGTAGACCGTCCGACGTACTTCATAAGAGGAATGGCGAGTTTTTGAAGTTGTATTTTTTTTGTCATAATTTTTCGGAAAATGAAAAAATTAAAAAAATTATTTTCACTATTTTTTTTTTTACATACTGTCACCAGTGCAGTACAGCGTCATCATATAACTGGCATGGCGGTGAACAGCGACACTGACTGGTGACAGTATGAAAAAAAAAAAATATATATTTTTTTTTTTTTTTTTTTTTTTTTATTATATTTAATTTTTTATTACATTTTTTTTTTTTTTTTTTTTTTAAGATTTTTTTTCATATTCTACTATGACCAAAATAGTACAATGTTACCATAGTAACATTGTACTACTTTGGGGAAGTGATCAGTATTTTTTTTTTTTTTTTTTTTACACAATTTGCTTATAGAAAAGAATTACTTTGCTATAAGCAAGCATTTACCTGAATGAAATTGATTCATTCAGCTTTTTTTTTTTTTTTTTTTTTTTTGTGCTTAGCTGTGATTTGGTCACAGCTAATCACATGACATATGCATGTGATTAGCTGTGACCATTCACAGCTAGGCACTAGTATACAATGGATGGCATCATGAGTGAAGCCATCCATGTATACAACTGTCATGTGACCTGTTGTGATTGGTCACAGCAGGTCACATGGTACCAGCAACGGGGGCCGGTACTCGGATCTGTCATCGGCCGTGTCCGAGGTGCACGGGCGGTGACAGATCGCACTGCTGCGTCGCTCTGCAACCGCGCAAACCGCGCATGTGTGGGAGCACGCCAAATGGCGTGCACCCGGAAAGCTGCAGCGCTTTTCAAGCCGCCAAACGGCCATTGGCCGGCGGCTAATGATTAAACGCAATCCCTCCCTCATTACGGAGCCTGGGCAATCCTTTAAGGCCAGTGACACACTGAAAGCAGAAGCCAAAATCCTCTCCCCCAGAAGCTTCCTGGAAGGGACCTGATATCCTCCACTGTCACCTGCCACTGCCAAAGTATTTTCAGACACGGGGCAACATAAGCTGGGACCTTGCCATGTCGGACTCTTAGACTCTTCACTGGGCCGCCATCTTCCCAGCAATGCAGAAAAGGCCTAAACCAAGACTGAAAAATACCCACCCATCCCGGCGGGGTCTCTGCCAACATATTACCAAGATTGTACTTTAACCGTTTCAATACCGGGCAATTTTCCCCCTTCCTGCCCCCAGGCCATTTTTCACGTTTCAGCGCTCTCACACACTTTGAATGACAATTGCGCGGTCATACAACATTGTACCCAAACTAAAATTTTATCATTTTCTTCACACAACTAGAGCTTTCTTTTGGTGGTATTTAATCACTGCTGGGGTTTTTATTTTTTGCTAAATTAACAAAAAAAGACCAAAAATTTTGAAAAAAAAAAACACATTTTTCTTTGTTTCTGTTATAAAAGTTTACAAATAAATAATTGTTCTTCATAAATTCAGGCCGAGATGTATTCTGCTCCATGTCTTTGGTGAAAATAACCCAAATTAGGATGTATTATTTAGTTTGTAGGAAAGTTATAGAGTTCACAAACTATGGTATAGATCTGAATATTGATCAATCCTGAAGTACTGACGGCCAATCTAATTTCTTGAGGTCCAAGAATGTCAGAACAGTACAGATATCCCCCAAATGTCAGGACGGTACAGATATCCCCCAAATGTCAGAACAGATATCCCCCAAATGTCAGGACAGTACAGATATCCCCCAAATGTCAGGACAGTACAGATATCCCCCAAATGTCAGGACGGTACAGATATCCCCCAAATGTCAGGACGGTACAGATATCCCCCAAATGTCAGGAACGGTACAGATATCCCCCAAATGTCAGGACAGTACAGATATCCCCCAAATGTCAGGACAGTACAGATATCCCCCAAATGTCAGGACAGTACAGATATCCCCCAAATGTCAGAACAGTACAGATATCCCCCAAATGTCAGGACGGTACAGATATCCCCCCAAATGTCAGGACAGTACAGATACCCCCCAAATGTCAGGACAGTACAGATATCCCCCAAATGTCAGGACAGTACAGATATCCCCAAATGACCCCTTTTTGCAGAGTAGACAGTCCGACGTACTTCATAAGAGGAATGGCGAGTTTTTTGAAGTTGTATTTTTTTGTCATAATTTTTCCGGAAAATGAAAAAATTAAAAAAATTATTTTCACTATTTTTTTTTTTTTTACATACTGTCACCAGTGCAGTACAGTGTCATCATATAACTGGCATGGCGGTGAACAGGGACACTGACTGGTGACAGTATGAAAAAAAAAATATATATATATTTTTTTAATTTTTTTTTTTTTTTATTATATTTAATTTTTTATTACATTTTTTTTTAAATTTTTTTTTTAAGATTTTTTTTCATATTTTACTATGACCAAAATAGTACAATGTTACCATAGTAACATTGTACTACTTTGGGGAAGTGATCTGTATTTTTTATTTTTTTTTTCTACACAATTTGCTTATAGCAAAGAATTACTTTGCTATAAGCAAGCATTTACCTGAATGAAATCGATTCATTCAGCTTTTTTTTTTTTTTTTTTTTTTTTTTTTTTTTTTGTGCTTAGCTGTGATTTGGTCACAGCTAATCACATGACATGTGCATGTGATTAGCTGTGACCATTCACAGCTAGGCACTAGTATACAATGGATGGCATCATGAATGAAGCCATCCATGTATACAACTGTCATTTGACCTGCTGTGATTGGTCACAGCAGGTCACATGATACCAGCAACGGGAGCCGGTACTCGGATCTGTCATCGGCCGTGTCCGAGGTGCACGGTCGACGACAGATCGCACTGCTGCGCCGCTCTGCACTAGCGCAAACGGCGCATGTGCGGGAGCATGCCAAATGGCGTGCACCCGGAATGGAGGAGCACATCTGAAGCCGCCAAACGGCCATTGGCGGGGCGGCTAATGGTTAACCATTAGCCGCCCCGGCCTATAGCCATTTGGCGGCCGCAAAAATGCTGTAGCTTTCTGGGGTGTACGCCATTTGGCGTCCTCCCGCACATGCGCAGTTCGTGCGGTTGCAGAGCTGCGCAGCATCGCGATCTGTCACCTGCTGTGTACCTCGGACACAGCCGATGACAGATCTGAGTACCGGCCCCTGTTGCCGGTACCATGTGACCTGCTGTGACCAATCACAGCAGGTCACATGACAGTTGTATACAATGGATGGCTTCATTCATGCCATCCATTGTATACTAGTGTCTAGCTGTGAATGGTCACAGCAGGTCACATGCACATGTCATGTGATTAGCTGTGACCAAATCACAGCTAAGCACAAAAAAAAAAAAAGCCCTGAATGAATCGATGTCATTCAGGTAAATGCTTGCTTATAGCAAAGTAATTCTTTGCTATAAGCAAATTGTGTAAAAAAAAAAAAATAAATACTGATCACTTCCCCAAAGTAGTACAATGTTACTATGGTAACATTGTACTAGTTTGGTCATAGTAAAATATGAAAATAAATCTTAAAAAAATTAAAAAAAATGTAATAAAAAATTAAAAATAATACAAAAATAAAAAGAAATATATATATATTTTTTTTTCACACTGTCACCAGTCAGTGTCCCTGATCACCGCCGCACCAGTTATATGATGACGCTGTACTGCACTGGTGACAGTATGTAAAAAAAAAATAGTGAACATAATTTTTTTAATTTTTTTCATTTTCCGAAAAATTATGACAAAAAAAATACAACTTCAAAAAAAAAACTCGCCATTCCTCTTATGAAGTACGTCGGACTGTCTACTCTGCAAAAAGGGGTCATTTGGGGGATATCTGTACTGTTCTCACATTTGGGGGATATCTGTACCGTCCTGACATTTGGGGGATATCTGTACCGTCCTGACATTTGGGGGGATATCTGTACCGTCCTGACATTTGGGGGGATATCTGTACCGTCCTGACATTTGGGGGGATATCTGTACCGTCCTGACATTTGGGGGGATATCTGTACCGTCCTGACATTTGGGGGGGGGATATCTGTACCGTCCTGACATTTTGGGGGATATTTGTACCGTTCTGACATTTGGGGGATATCTGTACCGTCCTGACATTTGGGGGATATCTGTACCGTTTGACATTTGGGGGATATCTGTACCGTCCTGACATTTGGGGGATATCTGTACTGTCCTGACATTCTTGGACCTCAAGAAATTAGATTGGCCGTCAGTACTTCAGGATTGATCAATAATCAGATCTATACCATAGTTTGTGAACTCTATAACTTTCCTACAAACTAAATAATACATCCTAATTTGGGTTATTTTCACCAAAGACATGGAGCAGAATACATCTCGGCCTAAATTTATGAAGAACAATTATTTATTTGTAAACTTTTATAACAGAAACAAAGAAAAACGTGTTTTTTTTTTTCAAAATTTTGGGTCTTTTTTGTTAATTTAGCAAAAAATAAAAACCCCAGCGGTGATTAAATACCACCAAAAGAAAGCTCTAGTTGTGTGAAGAAAATGATAAAATTTTAGTTTGGGTACAATGTTGTATGACCGCGCAATTTGTCATTCAAAGTGTGAGAGCGCTGAAACCTGAAAACTGGCCTGGGGGGGGAAGGTGTAAAATTGCACGGTATTGAAATGGTTAAGAAGAGCAGAGAAAAGAACACTATCGGGTTGACCATTCCTAGGCCACCCTCCCGCCTGGACAGGTAAGTTACATTGCGTTTGATCAGGTTCAGCCTATTTCCCCATAACAGTTGGAAAAAACAGCTGTAGACCCGTGCATAGAGAGATACCGGCAAGATACAGACGAAGCTGACATATAAAAAGATCGGGATCAGGTAAGTTTTGATCAGTCAACCCTCTCCCTCAAGGAAAGCCTCCATCTCTTCCACTCGCTACTTTGGTATTGGCATCTACCAACCTGCTTTCCCAATTTCTATGACCATAGTCACCAGGACCAAATTTGATGCCCAAAACTTTAATGTCTGCTGGGGCTCTGGGAAGGCATCCGGAAGTTCAAAGCTTTCACCCTCCTCACCCATCCAGAAAACTTCACTTTTCATGGTTAACTTTAGAGCCAGAAGCCTCCGTGTACTGCTCTATCACAGAGACCACCTCCTGCGCCTCCTCAGTCCCAGAGATAATAACAGACACATCTTTAACGTAGGTCACAACCTTCAAAGGCGGCGCTCCAGCAATGCCCGAGGCACCCCGCACAATGATGCGCCCTCTAGCCTTCCTTCAAAGGGGTCGATTGCGAAAGCATATAGCAGGGGGCTCAAAGGACATCCCTGGCGCACACCAGAGCCGACCTCAAAAGGCCGTCCAACCCAACCATTAACAAGTGGGAAGCTCTCAGCCCCTTTATATAATGTCTTCATCCAATCTATAAACCTCCCCTGCAGGCCGTATCTACCAAGCAGCAACCACAGATATTCATGATTCACTCGAGCTTTCGAGCTTTCGCCTGATCCAATGCCAGCAAGTACTTTCTCCATCCAGCCGCCCTGCATCGTTCCAAAGCCTCCCGGATAGCCAAAACTGCTGAAAAGGTACTTCTACCTTGGACCAAACAGTGCTGATGGCTGGACAACAAATCGCCTGCTACTGACGACAAGCGCCAAAAAAGAATCTTTGCCAAGATCTTTCTATCAACATTGAGAAGACTGATGGGGCGCCAGTTCTCAATCATTGAGGGGTCTTTACCTTTTGACAGAAGAATCACAGCAGATTGCCTCATGGAGGGAGGGAGCGAACCCTCTTCTAGACAGCTGTTAAAAACCTCCGCTAAAAAGGGAGCCAGAATGGACTTAAAACACTTGTAAAATTCAGCTGTCAATCCATCTGGCCCAGGCGATTTTTTTGGTAGCCAGCTTGTCTATAGCATGAACTACCTCATCCGCTGAAATTGGTTCTGTCAAATTCATCAAAAGCAATGCACCATTTCCCAATCCTGGAGTAGAATCCAGAAAGCTTTCCATCCTGTCCCGGCTGAGGTCCTTTCTTCCCAGGAGGTCTGCATAATACGACCCAAAGATCTCCAAGATCCCTGATCTGGACTTCATCAGGGAACCCGTACTGTCTTTCAGGCCAATGACCGTCTTAATTGCTATGCCTTGCTTACAGTTCTGGTAAGGATCAGGTGAGTGATATTTCCCATAATCCCTCTCCAGAACCAAGGAGGCATGCCGGTCGTATTGACACTTCCTAAGAAGAAGCTTCACTTCAGAGATCTCCCCTGGATCCCCTCCATACGAGACAAGACGATCAAGCTTCCTCCGCAAATGCTGGTAGGCAATATACATACCAAGCTGCTTCTTCTTACTTATGGCCTTCAAAAGTCCAATCGCCCTTTGTTTCACAAGGTCCCACCACTCTGACTTACTGCTCCAAAAGTCCAGAATAGAAACCTGTGCCTGAAAAAAATCCTCAAAGGATTGTCTTACCTCTACATCTTCCAGGAGAGCCCAATTCAGTTTCCAGACACCTCTTCCCACCCCAGCATTGAAAGCCAGCACTGATGGGCACTGATAGTCAGCAATGATGAACACTGAAAGCCAGCAGAGATGGGAACTGATAGCCTGCCCAGATGGGCACTGAGAGCCAGCAATGATGAGCACTGAAAGCCAGTACAGATGGGCACTGATAGCCAGCAACAATGGGCATTGATAGCCAACCCAGATGGACACTGAGAGCCAGCAATGATGGACACTGATAGCCAGCACAGATGGGCACTGATAGCCAGCAATGATGGACACTGATGAGCCAGCACAGATGGGCACTGCTAGCCAGCACAGATGGATACTGATAGCCAGCACAGATGGATACTGATAGCCAGCACAGATGGGCACTGAGAGCCAGCAATGATGAACACTGAGATCCAGCACAGATGGACACTGAAAGGCAGCACAGATGGGCACTGATAGCCAGCACAACTGAACACTGATAGCCAGCAATGATGGGCACTGATAGCCAGCCTAGGTGGACACTGAGAACCAGCAATATTGGACACTGATGGCCAGCACAGATGGACACTGAGAGCCAGCACAAATGGGCACTGATAGCCAGCACAG